CTTAGCCGGGCCTGGTGGCCTGGGCCATAACGGCCATAACGGCCCAGCGCCTCGGGCGCACCTGGGGGCTGCGAGCGGGGCAGGCTGCACGGCCAGCGCCGCAGCGAGGCTGTGTTTTGCTCAGGTTTTAGGAAGTTCCGAGTCAATTTGTAAAATTTACTTGACCTCTCCCTCTCTCGCTGCGGAGGGGCGTGGAGCCGCCGGCAGAGCTGTGGCAAAGCGCCCCACCGCAAGCAGGACACGCTGAGCGTCCCCTGTGTTGTGGCTCCTTGGAGATGAGTAACCTGGAACTGGCCATGCCGGTACGGCCAAAGCAGAAGTGAGGCCCCAGGAAACTGAGAGACTGATTTGAAATCATGAGATTTTTGAGTGCGTGCTGTTTTTCAAAGTCATCCTGCACAAGCAGCGCAGCGTCTCAGGCAGGTCCTTTCCAGCTAACTCTGGGTCTTCAGACATTTTTTGTCTTTTAAATAAGCAAAATATTTAAAAACGGGAAGGATGAATTAAAATGGTGGAAAAAAGCATCAACTTTGTTATTGTGTAAACAAAAGTAAGGTACATCCACAGGGCTCAGAAACAGTGTATAAATAAACCTACCACAGTAATGGAGATTCAGAAAAAACTAATATTTGTAGAGAGGTAGCTCGGAAAAGGAACATGACATCCTCCTCCGTTCTAATGTGGTTGCATCAAACAATAGTCATGCCACCTCAAACATACTGTAAGAATGCACCATGTTCTTGGAGATGTTCATATCTGGACAAGGCCCTAAGCAACCTAATGTAACACTGAAGCTGGCCCTGCTTTGAGTGGGGTTGGACGGTAAACCTCCAGAGGTCCTTTCCAGTCTAAATTATGGGCTGAGTCTATGTTAATGTCTGCAGAGCCAAATTCCCTGACTGTTCATGCTGTCCTGTCCTTGGAGTGTCCTCTGGGATTGCACGAAAGGGTCCCAACTGGTATGGCACAGGAGAGAAATTTGGAAGAACTTAATCTGTAGGCTTCGTTTTGGGTTACTCCCTCAGGCGCTCTGGCTAGCTCAAGCTGGAGGCTTTTTGCTCCTGGGACAGTGCCAGCCCAGTAAGTGAAAGGAGCAGGCATCTTGCCTACGTTGTGGCATGTTCAAAGAGGCACTCCGGTTGTGGCAGAATGTCAGGAGTGGGGCCTGACATTGAAATAACATAGGTGGTCTATGTGCCATAGCTTTTTGGGACAGATGGTAGTGAATTTCATGTGCTGCAGGCCTGTTCAGGTAAGTCATACGTTCTTCCACCCCTGTGCTAGAACATCAGGGAGGCAATTACCCAGTCGAAGCACTGGATTGACTAGGGGCTGCACCTGTATGTGCTCACAAGAGCTGCAATAGGTCCTAGCTCAGTATCTCCTTTGCAAGCTGTTCTGGGAAAGGGGCTGCTACTCCACCACTCATGCTGTAAATTGAATCTAGTTTGCCCCAAAATTAATGTAGAGAGACTGTGTCTTCAGGTCACACAGGCTAGGTACACTGGGAAGAGATCCCCATGAAGCCCACATCTCCAAGCTGTACTCTAGCTTTTCTCCTCTCAAACATACTCTATCTTTCTCCTTAAAAAGGCAAGTTAGGTCCTTTCTCTAGAGATCAACAATTCAGAGCCCAAATTCCTGAGCCTGAGCCTTTACACTCACTGCTGCTTGAGAATCATGGTTGAAAATGTCTCCTGTTCCTTCCTTACTATTCTGTACCTCACAGTTTTCAGAGCTGTCCTTCACCATCAGAGTAATCTGAAAACAAATTACTTCCACAGTTGCTAGTGATCAGTGTGTTTTGCGGAAATGACTGATATGATTGAGACAAGCATTAAGTCCATCATGTTTATAGGGAGGCACAAGGATTTCAGGATACAGATACATGGAGTTTGGAAGAGTTGAGTGTACGTCAGTGACAGATAGGATAGGGGCATACCAGACATGTCTGCCCTCAAACACCTCAGGAGCTCACAGTGTCAATGTGAATCACAGGCACTAGTCTGTAGTGTCAGAAAAGAAAGGATATAAATACAAAATAGGTGTGCCCAGGATAGATCAACAAGAGATTTTGCCTAATGCAGGCAAAAATATCACAAACTATTTTTGACTTGTGAACAAAGTGATTTTGTTTGAAATACTTCTTAGTTAAAAAGAATATTTTGAGGACTTAAAATGCAACAGAATCAACGTAATTTAAACATTAATCTGGCATCTTTCATTGTTCACTCTAAGAGAAAAATATTTTACAATAAAGATTCTTTTTATTCCCCACATCCTCTCCGCTTTTGCATACCAGGCCTTTGAAAAATTAAATAAACCCCCAAATGCTGCATTTTTTATTTCTTAAGAGCTTCCATTTTTTTCTGGACTCTCATATCTTTGGTCCCCATGCTAGACACATTTTTCATGCTTACTCAGCACACAGAATCGTTTTATTGCTGTGGGAGGAAAAATGGTTTGGGAAAGGCTTATAAGAAAGGTTAGACCCGGGTTGACTGAGTCACTTGGGTCACATCTGACAAAAGCCATCACCAGACTGGGTACATCCTCTAACCAGCAAAGGCCAGAGCACTCAAAGTGCCTAGTGATTTCTGCTAGGCATTGCACTGAGCTGCTCATTTGATGACATGCGAGTCTGTTTTCAATTCTTGTGCTACAGTTTCTAGCAGAAAAAGTCAGTTATTGAATTTCAGCTCTCTTACAAGCCCTGGGTTAATATCATCTTCCTTCTTTTTTTCAGTCCAGTTGCCTGATGAATGTTCTTCAGTTGAAAGCTTTGAAGGAAGAGGCAATTTCTTATATCACAGCAACTGACATTCCTGGAAAAACAGGCCAGCTTTTGGACGCTCAAGCTCTCCTTCAAGCCTGGAGCAGAAGCAGGCCATGCCAGATTCTTCTTGAGCAGTGGTTTACCAGTTTGGGATGGGCAAGTTTATCGTGGCTGCAATCACGGAAGAACCAGACTCTTTGATCCTCCACTTCTTACATGTTGATTTACATTCTGGCTTTACTCCGGAGCAAGTCAACCAGATCCCCAGGGGAGAAACTCATGCTCATTGTGAGCGGAGTGGTGGGAAAGGGAACCAGGCTGGACTTCATCCTCAAGAGGCAGCAGGGATGTGACTATTACTGCTGTGGCCTATGTTTACCTGTAGCTCTCCCAAAATATACCAGAGTACTTTCTGATCTTCCCTTTTTGCTCTCTGTATTTCTACATGCCACTAAAAAAGTCTGTAAAGAAGACATGGCACATCCCCTCTCTGTTGCAGGGAAACAGTTCTGTCACCATATCTCATGTCTGGAAGAGCTAAGAGTCATCCAGCTGGTAAGATCTCAGTGCAGCATGGGTATGGAGCAGGCTGGGTACACCTGAGGGCAACGTAAGTATAAATTAAAAAAAAAAAAAAACTCAAGAAGGTCAGTATCAGGTCTGCAACTGTCCTTCTTGGGCAGCATGCCTTTTCATGAAGGCTATGTGAAACCTTTGGAAGGGAGACTTCCAATGGTGGTATTTCACAAGTGTAGGGCCAGGGCAGCCCTAGGATGGGTAAGAAAGAGCCTCAGACATATGCCTTAATGACCATAGGTGTTTTAGTCTGTGGAGTCCAGGAGATGGGCCCACCTCTAGCCAGATGGAAGGTCTTTGTCAAGACTGGAACAATTTACATGGTCTGGACTTTTCAACCCCCAGAAGGAGCTGCTCAGGTCTGGGAATGGTGTTTATTGTGTGAGCACTAATAGTGTGAACAGGGAGGGCAGAGGGCAAGGATACCTGACTCAGCCTAGGGGACACATGATATCAGAGATGCTGACCACTGTCTGCAGCCTGGAGAAGGAAATCAGAAGCATGCACTGCCTCTGGCTGGGCAGAGATCCCTGCCCTGTCATCTCAGACCTTTGCCTTCTCTTGTCAGAGAATCAGAAATTCTGGCAAGGCACAAGTGGGGGACACTTCTCTTGTTAGAAGGCGCAACCATGCAAGACTTTCTGGAATTTCAGTCTAGCAACAAAATGTATCAGAAGCTGAGCCACTGCTGGTCAACTGGGTCACGATCAGGTGTATCTCCAAGAGAGGTTACACCTGTCCCATTGTGGCTGTCCCTGTCCCACACCTTCCTTTGCTGACATTTTTTACTGTAGGTAATTGAGAGTTGGCGGGGAGTCTGCACTGGCCTAGCTCACTTTCTGAAAGACTATCACAGATGATGTGTTACCAGTCTGGGATTGTTGCAGTATGTAAGCATGGAAAGATTCATAGCAGATGCAATTTCATTTCTGATGCCCTGCAAGGTGCTGTTATCTTACTCTGTCTGCAATATGGGCGTGCCAGCCCTTGCCCTGAAATTGTAGTCAGTGGTGGAAATCCTATGATTACATCTGTCTTCTCTTTGCTCTTCATGGCATAAGACTGTGGCTGTGGTCCAATGAATATAGGCTTAACAGTGAAAATGCTCCCAAATCCAGCACCATTTGGACAGTTTAAATCAAGGCTCTAATCCTCCCCCAAGACACCATCACATAACCATTATGTCTCAAAGAAATGCCTATTGTAAAATTACTCCACCTTCGTCATGGAGCCATTGTGAAAACCCACTGAAGGAGGCCAAAAATACTGCCAAGGAGCTATCAAGAATAAACACTAACCCCCACAAAGGAACCATTGTGAATAGGACTGTAAAAAATGGAGGGATTGTTGAA